TTTAGAATGTTCCAGGGCTCAGGTGGACTCGGGAGGGAGTGGATGTCAGGGCTGGGCTTGGATTCTGTTTGCTAAGATGCTTGCTGGGAGTCAGGCCAGGGGTGGTCTCTCTGGCTGCCGTTGTCTTGGCATACTGTGGATGGATGGCCACATGCCCTTGACTTTTTTCAATGCCACAGATAGATGTTCTTCCTCCTTTCCCTAAAGTCCTTGCATCTATTGTTTTTGTGTCTGAACCAAAGCCTTTTTTTTTTTCTTTTGGGGAAAGAGGAAAATGAAATGAAGCAAAATGTTTAGAAGCAGGCCAAGGATGTCCGGGAGCTTTCCCAAGTGCTTGGGTGCTGTCGGGAAGCCAGTGTCCCGGAGAGGTTCGAGAGCTCTGCCAGGCCTTTGTGCCCTGTCGGTGGGCCCGGGCACAGCTCCAGTGCAGCCAGGAGCACCCAGGGGGACGCGGGTCAGATTTGGTGCCCATGTAGTGTGTGATAGTATAGACTGTAAAACAAGATTAAAGAAAACATTTTAATCAGCTTGTCCTAAGGATCATCACTTATGCCTCTCCATTAGGTAATGATACTGCCCATCTCTTGGCACATTACATTTCACACATACACAGAACAGCAATAATACCATATCCATCACTAATAGTGTGTCCATCCTATTATTTTCTGCTACTTTCATTAAGTGTGTGTATGTGTGTGTGCGTGTGTGCGTGTATATATATATATATATATATATATAGTGATCAAATATGTATATAGTGTTTCTGCAAAGCCTTTATAATTACTATCTGTGACACAAAATGCTATCACATTCATGAACTGTAATTTATGAAATTATTTCCCTATTTGGCATGTCCACTCTAGATTTAGAATATTTGTCATACATTTTGGATACATTCAGGTTACTTTTTAGGTTAAACTCTCAATTTTCCAGGGAAAACACATGAGCAGATTTAACCATCCCTGTTCCGTATTATCATTTACTTTCTGAAGGGTTGTGTCATTTTGCGATGCCGATAGCCAGGAAGGATCGTGTCCATTTTGCCATAGTTTCTTCACCACAGGATGTTATCAATTAAAAATAAATAGAACCATGTAAGTAGCCAAATGACATTTCTAAACCATACTAACTTTCACACCTCTCCTTTCTTGCATAATCTGCAAATATGTTATTGCTCATGGAAAACAAAAAACAAAACAAAACTAGGCTACAGTCCTAGAACTAGCCCCGAAAGGCTCTCTGGGGTCCAAGGAGCTGGACAGTGGTGTTTCTGTGCCTACCCAGGCTCTGCACAGAGCTGAGGGCTCGAGGGAGGCTCGGCTCTCTGCACAGCCGATCTCCAGTCTGACTTCCCAACAGCCACATTCCAACGCATTGATCCATGCTCACTCAGTGGCTGAAATTCAGAATGCATTTAATTATAAATGGGCTGGCCGGATAAAGGTGATTCAGCCCACTGAAAGCACGGTGTTTGTTTTTGTCTTAAGTATCAGAATCCAAGTCTGTGGCCTCCCTTTTATCTCTCAGACATCATGAAACAAAATGCCAACGATCTATCTGTAAGCAGCTCACCACCTACCTGCCTGCTCTCAGACCTCCCTCTCTGACCCGCTGCTGCCGCCGCCGCCGGGGAGTTGGGAACAGGGCAGCGCCAGGAGACACAGGGAGCAAGGGCTGGTATGAGCAGGCATGATTGCAAATGCAGCAAATCGAAAGATCTGTCCCGACACCTGAAGGAGGTGACTGAGTTCACACTTCTCCCTCCACGAGTACCAGCCGTGGCACAAGGTCGAGAGGAGGCTGGGTTCTGCCTGTGCTCTGTCTTCCCAAGAGCCTGGAAACCATCCTTAACAGAAAAGAGCCAACATAACTAGGAAATGGCAGACGTGGTGTGAGAGGTCTCGGAAACGGACTTGAAGGGGTGGAGGATGGAGGGAGAGGAATAGGCATGCTGTCCTGGTGAAACCAACGCCAGACAAGACACCAGGAGCCGAAGGGCGGGGTGCCGATGACCAAGGAAGAGGACGCTGAGCTCGTGACGGGAGGGTCAGGGAAGAGGCGACACGCTCGGATCTCCAGGGCACAAATGCTTGATGTCTTCCATGCCCCCACTGATGGGGGAGCCAGGCCTGTGGGTAAGCAGCACCCAGTAAAGAGGTGAATTCATAATCATTGGAGGCTACATGGAAAACTGGTTCTGACTCCACAACGAAGAAACACACCTTAGAGATTTTTTCATTGTTTACTTATTTATTTAACTGGGAGAGGGATAGAGCTGATTCTTCAAAAGGGCAAGCACAGGGTCCCTATGAAGGTGACAGAGCCATGCGGGGTGGGGCTGTTTTCACTTCTTACCGCTGGCAGCGGAAATGCTCCTGGCAGCAGGTCAGCCCTCAGGAGCCTCATGTGTGGCACAGGCTCGCCCGAAGGCCTGCGGAGGGGTCTGCAAGGGGCGGGACGTTCCCCTGGAAGCTGTTGGGCGTTGGGAGCCTAGGGGAGCTTTGGGTGCTGCCCTCTGCTCAGCGTTGGCCTGAGAGGGGCCGAGGAAGCTCCGGCGTGCCGAGGAAGCAAAGAAGACGCGTTGAGAATGGAGCGTGTTTCATGAGGACAGCTAGGGTCTGGCCTGTCGCGCCGCAGCAGGAGCTTCGGATGTGGCCCCCACCACAAAGTGTGCGCACCACGCTCGCTCTCCGGCTCCTCCTGCCCTGTTGCACTCAGGTAGGCCAGGGATCCGGCCACCGCTTCCTCACGTGGACGCTCGGCACATAGCGGCAGCCTGGAGCGGTAGCTCGCGCCTGTAGTCCCAGCGACGCAGGAGGCTGAGGCGGGAGGATGGCTTGAGCCCAGGAGTCTCTGGGCAGCATAGCGAGATTCTGTATCTTAAAAAAAGAGAAAGAAATATAATGTTACATTCGGTCCCTGTTTTTCAAATGGGGAGATGGAGTGTCTAGGGTCATCCTGGCAGGTCAAGGAGACCCCAACTCTGTCTTGTCTTCTTGATCGTCTTCCTGGCTAGCAGGGATCTGAGGCTGAGTCTTCGCCAGCCTCCCTTCCGGATGTTTCCTCCTCCTCCTCGCAGCACTATAAATGCAGCTTCCCGCAGGCAGCTCGCTCTCCTGCCTCACCCCGGCCTGCGCCTTGCGGGAAGCCAGTGCCCCATTCGAGTGGCCGCGCCGGGCTTTCCTCAGAGTCAGCTCCTACTCGGTCTGAGCCAGCTCACTTTGTTTTCCTTCGTGGAACATCACTTGAAAGGTAGAAATGAACCTGATCTTAATTCTTCCTTCAACGTGACATGCCCTTTTCAAATCGTACAAATAACAATGTCTGATTGTCATGTTGAATTGTGAGCATGGCTGTGAAATGCTCCAAAATCTGACTGAAGCCAAATATTAGGTCGTAAGTCAACATTTTGCTGAGAAACTTGGTTACTGAGAGGCTGAAAATTTATATCTTTTTGTGAGAAAACTTGTTTGCCAGCAGGAAAAAATTTCAAAGACTATTATCTTCCTACATGGGAGGAGAGAGATGTGTGCAATGTTGCAGGCTGGGTGGAACAAAGTCCTTTAGGACTGCTGAGAGGGACTGGGTGAGGAGCGAGGCTTTGGTGCAACGTCGGTGCAACAGCTCCCTGGGCTGCAGGTCGGTGGTTGGCACAGGCGTGTGCCGTTTCTCACAAGGTCATTGGCAAAGTTGTGTGAATGGCTAGGAACAGCCTCCTCCCCTGAGGGAGGTCACACTCTGCCCACAAATCCTTCTGCTGGACACCTGACGAGAAAATGGGCCATTTGAGGCCATGGGCACTGAGGGTCTTGAGAGAAATAAAATCCTGGCTGGCTTCGTCAGAGGAGCTGTGGCACTCCCTCTGGGAAGTCTCAGTGGACACAAAGAGTCAACCACACCGAGGCAGGAGCCGGGGACGATGCCCTTGACCATGCCAAGGAGGCCGTAGCTTGCCGGCTTGCCTGTTGCTGTCTGTGACACGTCACCCCCATCACCAACCCATGCTGAGGTCCTCCAGCATCTCGCGTGCACCATGCTAGGAGGGACGGGGAAGGCAAAGAGGGGCCTGTGTCCTCACTATAGAATTAAAGCCAGGCGCTCTGCTACACTAAACACATTATGCTCTGTTTTAAGACGGCCAAGTGACAATGTCTAGTTTGCATCTCCTCCCAGAAAGCAAAGCAGCTTGCGTTCCCTCTGAGTGCCCAACCTCCAGGCAAAGTTAGAATCGTGGCTCAAGATAGAATCGAAAGCTGCAGTGGCTGGGCGTGATGGAGTAGGACTTTAACTGTGGCCTCAGGCAAACTCCTTATGGAATAATCTGCACCCACCGCACTGACACCGAGACGCTGACACTGCGGACACCCACTCCTCTGTGTGTGTGCGTGTATGTATGTATGTATGCAAACATGCATGTGTGTATGCATGTGTGCATGACTGCGTGTATGTGTGTGCCTGTGTATATGTGCATGTGTATGTGTGTGCAGGCACATGCACACCCTTACACGTGGGCAGTGAAAGGCAAGTGGCGGAAGCCTGGCACGGGGCACGGTAGTTGGGGCCCTGTCCTTAATGGGTTCTTCCCAATGCACAGGAGCTCCAGACATGTGCCTGCGCTTGATATTAAGTCACCATGACTTGGGGGCACTGAACTCAGGGCCCTTGCTCACGCAACCCCTCTAATCTGGGACATAGGCCCATGCCACGGTGACCAGGAATCTGGTCTTACAGCCCAGCTCCAGCTCATCTGCCCTTCCCCTCTCCATGAGCCGTGCTGTGGCTGGAGCCTGCCCATCTTTTATATCTAACCACAATGAGTGGCATCAGCCAGCGGTGGCGTCTGCAGGCCAGCAGACGGCAGGAGAGCGGGCTGCGCTGTCTGATGGGCAGGAGGACCCTGAGGATGGGGCCCTCATATCCCACCCTCCAGCCGCCTCCCTGCTCAGCACTAACACAGCAGGCCTGGCCTGTCTGACTTCCTGGTGGTTTTGGTCTTTCAGGCAAAGAAGGGGAACTACGCCTTTCTGTGGGACGTGGCTGTGGTGGAGTACGCAGCCTTAACGGACGACGACTGCTCGGTGACTGTCATCAGCAACAGCGTCAGCAGCAAGGGCTACGGCATCGCCCTGCAGCACGGCAGCCCCTACAGGGACTTCTTCTCTCAGAGGTAGGCGGGGGCAGCCTGGCGACTCCAACACTTGGCGTAGGAGAATAACTTTCTCTTAGGCGAGAGGAGCCAACAAAAACTCATTTATTCATCCCACTTTCCTAAGCACCTACTGTATACCACTGCATACTCCCTCCACCCCCACCTAGGTCCTGTGCTGGGTGCTGACATAAAGAGGAAGTATATGGTCCCTTTCCATGAGGGCACATGGTCTCTGTGGGGACTGTGATGTGAGCAGGCAGTGCCAGCCCAGCGTACATGGGATGTGAGGACATTGCCAGGGTGCAAGACACCTAGGAGGACTTCCCAGAAGAGGTGACACCTGAGGCCTAGAGAATGAGTGGCAGTTAGCCAGAAAAATGAATAATGTATAGGATCTGATAAGGACCTACTAATCACTTCTAAAGACAAATGCATCTGCAAAGTGGCAATAGCCAATGTGGAGACGTAGACAAAAAAGTAGAGTCAGAGAAGCAAAATGCCTCCATATGCATGTGCTCGTGGTGGGTGGGGGCTGCTGACTTCAGGGCAGCAGCTTCCTGGTCCCAGGAGGGGTGGTCTGCTGGGGCGGGGAAGGGACTTGTCCTTAAGCCAGAGAGGGTGGAAGTGAAGGGCATGGGTAGCTCAGTGGCCTTTTCTCTGTAGCCAGCCCCAGCAGGGGTCCTTTCCCTAAGCAAGTCTGAGTCTTGGGCTCTCTTCTTGCACATATCTGCTAGGTGGCATCCTGCTGGGAGGAGGGAGTGGAACTGCAGAGCCCAGTGAGAAGCCCCAAGGACCAGCTCTGCCTTGGTCCACCTAAACGCAAAATGAGGCAGGAGCACCCAAGTGAAAGTAGTGGCAGGCTCAGAGGCAATCCTAATGGCCTGATTTACGCATGAATTCCACACTAAGGAGCATCTATTTTATGGGGTGAATATACTCAGAAACCATGCCTCCAATACTCTGTAGTTCCGAAAGAGTAATTGACACCCCGAGTCGCCCAGCCAGCTGCTGGCAGAGCTGGGAGTAGACTCAGGTGTCCTGAGCCGCGGTGCTGTGCCTGTGTTCCTGCTGGATCTCCAAGCACGTCCACCTGCCTTCTCCTGCCCCCAGATGTCCACACTGTTCCCTTCTGCTCGTGAGCACCTGAGCCTTGGCCCCGGCAGGGGAAGGCCCAGGAGGAAGGCTACGGCCAGTCCATTCAGTGGTTTGTTTGCAAAACTGAAAAAAAGAGTAGGACTAATTAAGGTAAATGAGGCCTTTGGGTTTTCTCTTGGATTTAATCAAGTATACATTGTGTTCCTCCCTCTGATCCCTGGAGCAGAGAGAGATGACAAGAGGGAAGGAGGAGTGGTGATTTATCAATTGCTCAGATTAAAGGCATGAAGAAACAATAGCTTCTCTCCAGAATTTATAACACGTTGGTGTTCTTGAGGTTACACCAGTTGATTTTCCAAGATGGGAGGCTCAGGGCGACTCCACAGACCGTGGACCCGTGAGCATTTCTCTAGAGCAGATGGTAAGGAAGCCCCTGGGGCCAACACAGCAGCGACACCAGGATGGCTAATGGGCCCCAAGACAGCGCTCACCGCTCATGGAAGCACAAGGTCCTCAGTGAGGGAAGGTTAGAGTCCCCGTGTGCCCACCCTGCTCAGATACGCCCTATAAGTCTGCCAAAGTAGACGTTGGCATGCCGGAGAGAGGACAGAGCAGACGCTGGCCGGGGAGTGTGGGTCTCTGCTGGGCTGCTAAGTGGAGTCAGGGCAGAGGGGCGCACACCAGGTCAAAGGAGGACCAGGAAAACTCAACCTGGAGAGGGCAGAGGTGAGTGGGCAGGGGTGAGCTGTCCACCTCCAGTGCCGTAAGGCTTGCTGGGTGCCAAAGGAATGACATGTCCTTTGCATGGCCCCAGAGGGCAAAGGGCCAGGACCAGTGTGGGGGGCGGGATCCCAGAGAGCAGGCTGCTCTGGACCAGGCCTGCCCGCTGCCTGTCCGCTTGCTGACCGTGAGGTCTCCATGCAAAATTTCTCCCAACAGACACCCTGTGGGCTGCCCTCCCCACCCCAGTGATCACCATAATCAAAAGTGGCTAGTCCAATTTCCATGTCTTTGGGAAAGAAGTGGTTTATCACTGTTTGCTTTCATCAGAAGGCCATGTGCTCTGTGACTATAAGAAAATGTCCCTGGTGGGCTGTGCTGGCTCCCACAGTGTCCTCGTGTTCCTCCATGGTGCAGCTCCTCCTGGGCAGGGTCACCCTCCTCCTGGCACGCGGCACGCGGCGTCTGCTTCCGGGGAAGCCTTGGACCTCAGGTTGCCCACTGCCTGCTGCCAGTGGTTCTCTAAGGGGCTTTGTTGTGTGGGGTGTGCAGAGCTGTGGGCTGCCCCTCGCCAGGGCAGGCCTTGGGGGAGTGCAAGGGAGGTCGGGGAGCAGTGCTCCCTGCCATGTGTAGGAAATGGGGCCTGGTATAAATAGCTCTCAGCCTTGTCTGGAACTGCTGCGGCTGTCTTTCCCTTCATCCTGGGAACTAAACTCTTTCCTCGAATATAGATACGCTCCTTTGCTTCGGCAGAGAACAGGTTGTGTGGGTGTGTGTGTGTGTGTGTGTGTGTGTGTGTGGCATGGGTTATGTGCTGTAACAGGCTTGCAGACCACGGCATGCAGAGTGGGCATTCAATAAATGTTTAGCAACTTAATAGCCACTTATTGAGCACCTACTGTGTAGCAGGCTCCACAACTATTGAACCAAGATAAGCACCTGCAATTATATCTGTCTGAAAAATAGAACAACTGGCTTCAGGAAGTGGCTATTATCACTCCGGCTTACTCATAAGCAGGAGTATGGGATATTAGCGTTCGCATTGGCGTAGCCTCATTCTCAAAGTCATTTTGTACCCGTGACCTGTTTATCTTTCCTCTGTCACTTCCATATTCAAATTTCCTTTTTTGTTTGTTTGTTTGTTTTTGTTCTGTGCTGTCTCCTATTATTTCTGGAATAAGATTGGGCATAATAAATGCATCGATTGTGGGTAGCAGGAAGAGGAGGCAGTGAGTAAAATGAAGCAGCCACCTGATGTCGCACAGGAGCTGCCTAAGGAGCAGAGGGGTGGGGGTGTGACCCCACAGTCACGGTGTGGCTGGAGCCTCACTGTCCCCTAGGCCAGAGCCTGGCCCTCGAGAACAGACTGATGTTCTGGAAAGAGCACGTCCACGTGGGTCAGAACCACCCAGCTCTGACGGTCAGTGTTGCCGCCTTCCAATTGCAAGCGTGGGCAAGTCATCTAGAGTCTGAGCCTCGGGTCTTCAAGACGTAAAATAGACTTAATGAGAACCAGTCTGCAGGCTGTTATGAGGATACAAACAGTGTAAAACGATCAGTCCCTACCGTGTTCTCAATACACAGTCGCTCATGTCTACACTGGCCTGATGGGGCTGCCGGTCTATGTGGCCATCAGACTCTACAACTGCTAACCCACTTTTATGGAGCTCCTATTACCTGCCCGATCTTGCACTAATGGTCTGGGTGCGTTCCCTCTTTTCATTTTGTCCCAATAACCTTGTGAAGTAGGTGCGTTTATTAAAACATCACATTTTAGTGATGAGAAAGCTAAAATCGAGAGGTTCCCAGCCGGGATTTAGGCTGATATCCATGAACACCAAGCTCTGCTGTTTCTCCATAGTCTGCTAGTCATTCAGCTGCCGGCCTTCTCAGAGGCCCTGGTGCCAGAAGGCCCAACCTACTCACCCTACCGGCAAAGGCTGATTAAGGCCAGTGGACATACAGGCACGCAGCTTCCCGCATGCTCTGAGCCACGAGACGAGGAGCAACACTGCAGCTGCCCACTTAACCATGGAATGTGGCATGTGACAGAGATCTGGTGCTCAGGAGCATGCCCCAAACCCACACAAATGCCCCGTAAACCATGCATTGATCTCAGCCAAGTCTCTGCGTGCACAGCCACATTCTAGCTCTTTCATGACGATCAGTGCCCTGACCACTTAGTGGCCACCATGTCACCATCTCACAACAACCCTTTTTGTTAAGTTTTCATTATTCAATTAATGCATTCATGCATTTATTGACACAACGAACATCTGTGGATAGCCTCAGCGGTGCCAGGCTCTGTGCTTGCTCAGGGAAAATCACGGAGAGTGACACGCAGCCCCTGTCCTGAGGGATTGGCGGCCTGTGCAGCACAGATGAGATCACCGAGGTCATGTAGGGGCGAGTCCCTGGTCCAGGAGTCACAGCTGAGGTCTGGTGCTCCCCAAGCCGGATCTTTGCACTCAGCCAGGCCATTCTAGCCAGCAGGAGGCCATGCCGTGCTGGGTCCACAGTGCTGACAGGTCAGGGGACCCCTCGGGGCTGTGACCCTTTGTCTCCGCCAGACACAGGCTCATGCGTGAGAATTAGCCCAGCCTCAGGCCTGTGGTCACAACTGGTCTGCATGGCAGGTGCAGGGTGGGCACCGCTCAACCATGTGGCTGTCAGTGCGCTTCTCTGGGCTGCGAAGAATTGCCTCTAACTGCGCACACTCAGAGGGTTAAAGAGGTCACTACAGATGTCTTTAGCTGAATATATCGCCATGGACCAGGACTTAAGAGCTCCACGCCCCAAATGGAAGAGGTTGGAGGTTTGGAGTCTGGATGCTACCAGCTCCCACTGGCTCATGGTTGAGACCCCAAGATACCCCAACAGAAGAAACACACCGCGGGGAACATGTGCGCAGCAGGGGCTGCCCTGCCACTGCATGCAGCATAAACCCACACTCCCCCTTGCCCTCTGGAGCCCATGTCTGGGCTCTGCCTGCCTCACCGTCGTCCCCTCATGCCGTGCTCCTCCTCACAGACACTGCGGCCTCGCCGGCCACGCTGCGGCTCCTTCAGCACGCTGAGCTCTGCCCGGACCAGACTCTCGCACAGGGTTTCAGTCTCAGGAAGCTTCTTCCTCCTCTAGTTGAATGCTGTCCCTGCCGCCCTCACAGTGGCTTGGCAAGATAGATCACCCTTCTTTGCCTTGATTTCTGGTTGTGCAAAAGTGGGAAAATAGAAATAAGCATCTCAAAGGATGGACATGAGGATTTGACACTATTTTCTAAGGATGTAGACTATTCCCTAGCACATAGAACCTGCTAGACCTGTGTGAGCTTTTTTACGATGAGTTAACCTTCTCGTTTCCACTTACCTGTCACCTCCTCACTGAGGTCTCCCCTCATCCCCCAGCCTTTGCCACCCCTCCCAGAACCCCTGCTTTCATGTGGCTGTATTTATCACGGCGTCTGTCTGCACACTGATTGCTCTAGTAGTTTTTAGGGTTGGTGTTTGCATCTCTGGGCCATGAGCTCTGCAGTATTGGACATCGCACTTGGCAGAGTGCAGAAGCTCCTCAAATCCAATGAATGAATGATATGGTTAATCCTAGGGGTAGAGGCTTGGAATATAGCTAGTTACTGAAGTTAGAAAGAAAGCGTGTTTGCCATCACAAACATCCTAAATCTGCCAGTCTGGGTGTTTGCCTCCCTCATTTCTGTCTTTCTTTGTTTTATCCCAAGCTCTTGCCGCAGAATCCAGGTGATGGGCCTTGTGTGCTTTGCTGTGGGGCGTGAGGGAGGGCAGGGGGTTGTCGAGGAGGGGGTGGCAAAACCTGATGTTCCGGACGAGCACTCTGCTCGCAGTGGGAGGGGACGAGCCGAGGCAGAAAGCCGCTGGGACGGTTCGGTGTTGCCCGTGGAGGGCCGGCAGGGCAGGGCAGGGCTGGGCCCCACAGCTGAGTTGACGCGGCCAGTGGCTGTAGCTCACCTGGATTGTGTCTTGCAGGATCCTGGAGCTGCAGGACACAGGGGACCTGGATGTGCTCAAGCAGAAGTGGTGGCCGCACACCGGCCGCTGTGACCTCACCAGCCACGCCAGCGCCCAGGCCGACGGCAAGTCCCTCAAGCTGCACAGCTTCGCCGGGGTCTTCTGCATCCTGGCCATCGGCCTCCTCCTGGCCTGCCTGGTGGCTGCCCTGGAGTTGTGGTGGAACAGCAACCGGTGCCACCAGGAGACCCCCAAAGAGGTCTGTACCCTGGGTCCTGCCTCTTCTTTCTGTAGCCTAGAGGCAGGAGAGTCACACCGGGCCATTTGGAGGGTGGTTTTTTCCCAGTTAGTATTTACCTGAGTCATCTTGTCTGGACACAGCAGTTTTTATGCTGGGGTATTGTGATATGATTTTATTTTGTGTTTGAAGCAAGAGAAAAAATATAGGGGATGTTTTCATGCTTGAACTAGGTGCTGAGGTGCCAGCCATGGCCACTAAAGTCCTGTATTTATCTATAGAGCAGATACAGCATGGGCAGCGCCAGAGAGCCCTTCCCCACCCTGCCCCGCCCATGTGCCTCCACCCTGACCTGGAGAGACCACCTGTAGGGTAAGAGAGGAGCCCCGTTCCTCCTTCCTTCCGATTCTCTTTGACTTCTCGCCAAGGGCCATGGGCGCTGCTCTCGCACGTGTAGGGGGATCCCCATCCCTTCCTCCCTCTCTCCCTCTTCCTTGCAGGGTGCAGCCTTGCTCACATCCCTCCTGGGCTCACCTGGCTCGGGGCACACTCACTGTCCAGACTCCAGGCTCTGGGTACCTTCCTCCCCGATTTGTGCACCGACCACAGGCTGATCTGGCCCTCGAAGCTTCCCTCTCATTGGGATTTTGTTCTTCTTCAAGCTCATATTTTTTTTCTTAAAGCCTTCACCGAGGTCTCTTTTCCCCAAGGGAGGGTGGCAAGGGGCGTCATTTGGGGATGATTCTCTGCCGGCAGAAAGCTGCACACAGGCACCAGCCCAGCCACGCCGCGTGTAGGGCTGTCACTTCCTGCCGTATATACCTCAGTGACATCTAGAATTGCACCTCTACTTATAGATCCTGTTGGTGCAAACAGATGTCAGTCTCAAACAGGAAACAGGGAAACAACCAGCATTAAATCCAGAATCACTTCTGTCTTGTTTTTGTCTTTGCTGGAGGCCCAGGTAACATGGCAGTTCAGGAAACAGTTTCAGCGGTAGAGGAGACAGCAGTAAGGATGGAGCCACATGGCCACCATCTCTGGCTGGTCCACATCCGTTCTTCAGTCTGTGGTGGCTCCTGGTGGGTTGGGGATGAGGACAGTGACAGAGGACACCCTCGCTCCGGTCTGACTCTCAGGCACTGAGCTCTCTGCAGTTACACTTTCTTTTCCCTGGAAGGAGGGCAGTGCTTGACTCAGTGCATCCAAAATGTTCCTGGGACATCTGTCTTCCTCCTCTGCCTTCTGTGCTCCTCCATGTAAGGGAATGTGAGGCTGGGATCTGCCACGGCCTTGGTGGCTCTCCTGTCACCCCTGGAGCTCAGGAGAGAAGGAAGGAAGAAATTTGAGGGAACCCTACTAAAAGGAACAGTTGATAATTCTGCCCTAAACTTCTTCAGCTACTGGAAAATTTTGTGTGAAGAAGTTACCAGGAGGGACAGTGAATTTTTCTGACGAGTAGTTAAGGAAGGGCCACAAACATCTCCCCTCTCCAGCCCACTCATCATGGCAGCCCCCTCCATGCCATCACCAGGGGACCCTACCCTGCTTGTCACTACCCAGGGCTATATGACAGAGGCATCAGTGGGCAGCCAGGGTGTGGCAGTCCCAGAACCAGGAAAGGGACGAAACATCAGTATTTCAGAAGCACATCTTTAAAACCTTCGAAAAATGATGATGGCATTTAATCCAGAACTGCTTGGTGCTACTGGTTGCCTGTGTTTTATGGAGCACCGTTTGCAATTAGGTGAGAGTGTTTGGTTAATCTAAGAATGTTGCATTTGGGGGCACTGGCCATATTTCTTAAGAGCCGAGAAAACCTGTCTTAGGGTGGAGCCAAGTTGTGTTTAATGGCTCGCGCTGGGATGTCTTCAGAGTTTAGACACCTACTTGAGGAAGAGTAGTAATGTGCATTCAACCCCTTAATATTCATGTGGATTTGAACTCATATTTTTTCTAAGGAATCAGACGATTATGTAGTTACCCAGTGCGGTGAGCACAGCAAGCTCTGTGCATGCAGTAAAGAGCCGCCCGCTAGATTTATGGCGGATGTGGAGCCATTGCTCTGAGAATAAAATATTCATGAAATAAAGATGAGAACAGCACAAATGGGAGATGGCATGAGGAGTGAGGGATGAATCATCCATCACTGGGCTGGGAGCTTGGAATTCTTGTTGCTTCCTGCCTTGCCTGCCCTCCCCAGGCCCTGTGTCCATCACAGACAGGAGCTGATAGAGTCCAGCGTGGCCGGGAGGCCTCTCGCCCTGGGCCGTGGGCCCGCATCTGCAGGCGTGGCCCCACACACAGCTCTCCATGGAAGAGCGGACCCAGGCCCCTCCACTCCACACCTTTCCTTGGGACGCCTTCTTCAACTGCATGGAAAGATTTTTCTCTCCTGCACTTTCCCCTCTTCATTTATGCCAACCCAACAGTATGGCACTGCGGATTCAGCAGGGAAGTGGTGTAAAGAGACTTAGGAGGTATCTGGGCCAGGGGTTGCTTGGTTAATGGTAGCCGAGGGGCTACTCCCGCCCGAGGCTCTGAGGACTACGGGGAGGCAAAGCGCAGCAGCTCAGGGCTCCTTCTCTGAGCCGGGCAGATCGCACGGTATCTTCTCATCCCTCTCCAGCAACATTCAAAGAAGGCGCCATTACGCGTGGAGATAGAGGACTCGGAGCGGCAAGGGCGGAGCTGGGCTGTGAATGGAGTGTCTGCTCCGCTCACCCGCTGCCTCCCAGAGGCAGGCTCGTCAAAGCCTGGGCGCCGGGCTGTGCACCGGGTGTGCGCGTGAGCACGTGTTCCTACATAGCGTTTTCCAGAGGGTTTGGGAAATGAAGGGTGTGCCACAGTGTTCTTCCCTGGGCCAGGCTCCTGGCTCCTGGCTAGACATTTACATGCTCTGAACTGCAGTCTCTCTTTTATGCGGGAAACTGGGCCTGGCCTGACAGCTGAGCTGCCGAGATCAGACGGCTTGGCAGGAGGGTGAGGGTAGTGAGCGTGTGTGTCTCACCCCTCGGCCCAGGGTCTTCCAGTAAGAAGGCATTGGACATTTATCACACGCCACTGTGCAGCTCACAAGCAGCTCACTGGCAAAGCCTCCCCTGCCTGCCGCCAGCCGCCTCCCTGGCCGGCGTGATTCCACTGGCGATAATTGTTTACCTGCCTGTCTCTGCATTGAGGCTGCCCGAGTCTCCTCACCTCTGCATTCCCATCCATTTGCCCATTCTTCGCCAAAGCGGAAGCTCTCGTTAAGGGGTGATGGATATAATTGAAGTATTGAGCACCTTCTGTGTGCCCGGGACCAAGATGGATGCTTTACCAAGAACATTAGTTCATTTGGTAGCAGGAGCTCAAAAGTGTTTATTGAATGAATGAACCAGTCTGGGCTCCGATAAAGAAAACGTTATTAATGTTAAACTGTTGTGTAATCATTGCAGCTGGATCAATGGCTTTCAGTTCTGGCCGCACATCAGAGGTGATTAATTCTGCAGCCGTTTAGAAGTACATATGCTTGGGCCCCATTCCCCAATGGGTCAAATTAGGAAGAGCTGGGCTATATCATTTCTAAAATCTCCACTTGTGCTTCTGGTGTCCTCCCAAGGAGGAAAACCACCGATGTTCACCAGTCTTTCAAGGTGAGAAGCTACTGGGAGTAACGGAGTGGTGGTGTGGGGAGGATGGATCCCTTGACACATGGGTGTAGTGGGAAAGAGCCCCGTTTTGGAGCCTGGGTGATGAGAGCTCTGGTCCTGATGCTCCACTTACTGTGGCATCGTGTGACCCCGAGCAAGTCCCTCTAGCCCTAGCCTCAGCTCACTCTGTACACCTGCTGCTCCCACCTCTGAGGTGAGGTGGTGCTGGTCGCCCGGCCCGCACAGTCTGTGATTGAGCGAGCAGAACTCTTTCTCCTGCTGCTTTGGGAAACCGTCCACCCTCTCCCAAGATCTCTGCACTGACACGGCTCCTTTGCTCTCGCCCGGCCCTTGTGCTCAGACCCCAGGCCCAGCTCCTTGGGGTCAGGCAAGTATTTGGAGCGTCACTTAAGAAGATCATGTTGGTGGCATCTCTCCCAGCCGCTGGGTCTCATTTACCACCTGGTTGATCTCAGTGGTAACAGGAGAATGCTGCCCGCAGCCCTCCCCGTCAGATGGGAAGTCTCTCAGCTCTAGTTTTGTTCCTGCCCGACTTAAAGTAGGAGCCGCTGGACTCCAAACAAAGCCAGTTCTAATGAGTCCCACGTGCCACAGGCTGTTACAGAGATGATAGTTTAGTTAATTACCGTTTTCCAATACACTGTATTATTTCCACGTTGGTGAACAGAGGCTTAATTACAGAATTTATCTCTCCGCGAGACAGTGCCTGGGAGAGGCTCCGAGGTAACCCTGCCGGTGCATCTGCCCTGCACAACACGGGGCGAGAGACGCAGAGCTGCAGTGCGGCCGGCTTCGTGGGCAAACACAGTCGGTGAATTTTATGTCAGATTCAGGGGTGTTTGACTAGGTCAGTTACCTACGGTAAATTAATGAAGGCAGCAATAAGTTTCCAGGTCTCTTTCCACAGCTGTCATTACCTGGCTGAACACTGAACCAGGGGATAATGAGGCTGTAAACTGATGTACTTCACATTAAAAGAAAGCCCATTATTTGAATTTGCATAACATAATAGAATACACCATTTTGCCTAAAAGATAGATAATTACTCAAATCACTCCTGCCTCTTTCCTTGAGTAGGCCTATTACCCCTGCCTCCTCCTTCCCTGGCTGGACTCGCAGAGGTGCAGCTAGACATCACTTTATGTGTGCTAAATCTATGGTCCTAGCCCATACAAGACCATCCTTCCAGGGCTTGCAAACAAGGCGATCTTCTCCTGTCCTTCTTGTCTCCCCTCCAGCCCCCATAGGCGCCAAGACCATGGCAGTGGACAAGAAAGTGTGGTGGGGCACTGCTGCTGGAACAGATGAAGCACCAGCCATTTTTTGTCTCTTTTTCCCTTTGTTCAGGATTCAGATTTAATCCTCCTGTCTTTGTTAGGGTCATGATTCTGTTTCTTGGCTAGGTAGGCAGGTCACCTGCCAAACTGTTACCATCCCAGGAATAGTAATTCCCTAAAAGCAAATAAACCACGGACTTCTTTGGGAAAAAGTCCAAGCCACTAATGCCCAATATAATAGTTATGAAATACTAGTAAAAATAGTTTCACATGCAAAAATGAAACCAAAACAGATAAAACACACAAAAAAGGGCAGTTACCCGGATCTAGCTTAACAATGGTGTAAGGTAATTAGAAAAGAACTTGAATCTGGTTTGTTACATATTTTACAAACTTTTGAAGGGGTCAGTGAAAGCACTGTGCGAACGATATCTAGCCACCCAGAGTAGAGGTGTGGTCTTCTCCAACCACTTCCCTCAGTTTCACCAGCGGGCTGAGCCCTGCCTGTGTGGGGCTTCAGGTCACTGGGGTCGTGGCTCTGCCTCTGAGGCTGTGCCAGTGGTTCCTGCTGTCCTCCCCACCTGCGACACAGAGCCACATCCCATAGTCTGCTCCTCCTTCAATCCAGCCAGCTCTCCTGTGCTCAGATGTCCTCCCGCCCAGAATGAGTTCTCCGTGTCTTATGGGTGTTGTCAGTTTCCTTGTCCTGGGAAAGTTTCTGGGAACGGCAGCAGGTGTTCCTCCAGAAACTGAGCTCTGTGTGCCAGCCGTGAGCTCACAGAGGTGCGGGGAGAGCAGTGGCCCCCTCCTCCATGCCGGGGGCACTGTGGCAAGGCGTGCATTGCAGAGCACTTCACCTGCTTGCCTGATAAACTCTGGGTTCAGCCTTCACGGGGGTGAGCCCTGTGGCTGGCGCCTTCATCTCGGGGACTCATGCCCATCATTCAGGTGACTTCCTCATGGGGAAATCCTCTTCCACTAGCCCCATGGAGCTCAAAGTAGTCACTGGAATGGCCCTTCAGCTCACATGGTTCTTTCTTTTCCTTATGAAATCATATTCAGGGCTTCTAAATTTCTTGGTATTTTTCATTCCCTTACAAGGCTGACAGGGGGTAGGTTCCTTTCTCCGGTATGTGACATCACCATCAAGCACGCCTGTGGGGTTGCGTCTTAGGGCTGAGCTTTGACGCTGTCTTTCTCTTGGAGTCTGGCCTGAGGGAGGGACGGGCCGCGGTCATCCCATGCCGGGCACGGCCGCACCCTTGCTGCCCACAGCAGGACGCGGCTTCGGCCTCGCCAGGGCTCACACGGCTCCTCTGCTGGGCACCTGGTCCTGTGTCCCACCGCACTGGGGGGAAACCAAGGAAGGGGATGACATCTTCCTTCTTGGTTTATTCTGACATTGTAAGCAAATCATTAAGTGTTTGGCAGGAATATTCTGTTTTATTTTCTTTCTTAAGCAAATAAATAAATGAACAAAGCAAACAATTTCCTGTGATGCCACCCATCACGGTGAGGTGGGGTGGGGTGTGAGGGTCACCCAGTTAGACAGCCTCAAACCCCCATGACACAGGAGTGAGCTGGCCCTGGGGAGGTCCGTCTCTTCACCCTCCCCGGCCCTTCTCCCCACGCTGAAACCCATGCCCCACTAGCCTTCCAGACAGAGACATTCCCCTTCCCTGCATGTCTGGGGAGGTGGTCACAGGTGAGTCTGGACTCTCTCCTGCTCCAGGCTTCTGGGCTGCCTCTAACACTATGGGGCTTATGAGTCTCAGGAGGTCACCGGACCTTCCCGAACCTAAGCCTCCTTTTGTGTAAGGCGGGAATGATCACCTGGAGTCTTTTCAGACTTGTGACTCAAAGGGCTAATGCACAGGGCCTGCCAGGGGCTCAAGGCCCAGTCCCTGCATTCCCGTGGGACTCTTTTTTTCCCCTTCTGTTTCTGCCAGCTCTTCAAACATCTTGTCCCAAGGTCGCCTCTGGATGTGGGGAGGCAGGATGCAGCCAGGCCTGCTGGCAGGGCCTTTGCTACGGGGATAAGGTCCTAGCTGGTGGCTTCCCCAGACAACTGTGGGCTAGCCGTGCCACTGGGGGGAGGCGGGAGCATTGTGGGGTGCAAGGTGCTCACCCGCAGTCCCACAGGCTGCACAGGCCTGGGGTCTTCAGACAGCCGGAGTGTGTGGCGAGCCAGCCTGGGCCCGCCGTTCGGGGTTGACCTGACCTCTCCGTGCTCTCCCTCCAGGACAAAGAGGTGAATCTGGAGCAGGTCCACCGGCGCATGAACAGCCTGATGGACGAAGACATTGCTCACAAGCAGATTTCCCCCGCGTCCATCGAGCTCTCGGCCCTAGAGATGGGGGGCCTGGCTCCCAGCCAGGCGCTGGAGCCGACGCGGGAGTACCAGAACACCCAGCTGTCGGTCAGCACCTTCCTGCCGGAGCAGAGCAGCCACGGCACGAGCCGGACACTCTCGTCAGGGCCCAGCAGCAACCTGCCGCTGCCGCTGAGCAGCTCGGCCACCATGCCCTCCATGCAGTGCAAACACAGGTCGCCCAACGGGGGGCTGTTCCGGCAGAGCCCGGTGAAGACCCCCATCCCCATGTCCTTCCAGCCCGTGCCTGGAGGCGTCCTTCCAGAGGCCCTGGACACCTCCCACGGCACCTCCATCTGAGCGCGCCGCCTGCCCTCCCGCCCGCCCGCCCACCCACCCGACCAGCAGAGCTTTTTAATACAAGAAGATGACAACACAGACCACACACACGCACACACACACAGAGACTCTTTCATTTTTCTTGTACATACGTGTAAATAATGACAGAATGGAGTGGGGTAAAAGTGTATTTTGAATATTCCCAATTTTCGAAGTCAGTAAAAAAAAAACACAAAAACTGTATGAATGACTTTGTAAATTTTGTTCTATATGAATAAAAAGGCAAATTACTTGTGATCATTCTGAAGTGCCAAAGGAGCCCCGGTTCCCGGGCCTTTCTGAGGGCAGGAAGAGTGACCAGATAAGGAGCCCCCTTCCCGCCGGGGGGAGAGGAACCTGAGCCCCACATGCCGTCTGCTGCCTTGGCCCACGGCTTCCTGCCCCTTCTTTGCTCCTGGCCCCTGTTCTCCTTGGTCTACGCAGATAGGTAAAGAGCGAGTCTGGTGCCGGCGTGGGCTGGCCGGCCGGGTCGCTGTGCTGTAGGGTGATCAGCTGCTCCTGGTACCCTGGGACTGCAGAGGTGTCCTGGGCAGTCCCGGACGGCACGGTGACCTCACTGTGTGTCACAGTGTACTGTAGTGCGCACCTGCCCCATGGGCCTGAGAGGAGCTGCCCATATTCAGGTAACAGTCTCTGAGGGCCGATGTGTTCTAGTGTCATCCTGTTGGCCTCGTTTTTTGCTTTCTTTCCCAGATTAGAAGCATCAATAAGCCGTGGAACAAGGGGGAGGAGGGCAGGCCCCATCACTGCCTCAGGGAGGCTGGGCAGAGGCCGGCTCGGCCTGGCGGAAGGTCTGCAGGACAGGGAAATGCGAGGTGTGGCTGGTTGTGTGGCCCAGGTGTGGCAGTGGGACAAGAAGCCAGCTAGGGGAGACTCTTCCCTTGGATTTGGGCCCGTGGGCCCGAGTGAGAGAAAAGCGTGGTCACAGACGCAGGAGTGAAGGCTCTGCTGTTTCCAGTGAAAGGGTCCTGTTGGAAGCAGTTGGGGGAGTTGTCCCAGTTGAGTGGCCTGGTTGACGGGGGGAGAAAGGGGACACTGTGCGTTCAGGTAGGAAAAGGCCTTGGCCCTTAGGAGAGAAACATGACTTTGCGTGATGTGAAACAGGTACTCCCACCCCCGCCCCCCAGGGAAGTTGCTTGTGGTCCCAAAAGCAAAGGCGTGTCTCTGGGCTGAGAGTCCCGCAGGCGTTCTGCCAGGCAGCCCCCAACCCTCTCTCCGCGTTTCCCCACGTTCCAGACCAGGAGTCCTCAAGCAGCCCCCCGGCCCCAAAGCCAGGGCCTTCCCCATGAGGGACCCCACGTCCTTTGCGATTCCCAGGCCCATCCCTGTGCTGCTGGACCTGCCGGGAAACCCAGTGTCGTGAGGTTAGGACACCCCAACAGCCCCGCCGCCGGCCGGCGCCCTTTCCCGGGCAACTAAACTGTAGAACCAGGAAAGAGCCATCAGGAGTGGAACTGGAGGAGTCTGAGCCGCGCCACTTCCGTGGCTCTCCTGAAGGCAAAGGCGACTCTGTCGGGATGCAGCTCGCAGCTCCCACCTCCACCCCAGCAGCCATCAGGGAGCTGGGAGCCGGCCGTGTGGCCATGGAGAAATACAAAGCCCTATTGATCGGCGCTCCTACAGCCTTGTACGGTCACTCGAGAGAGGTATTTATGAGGGCGATAACTAGCCCAGGATTGATCTCTTTCCTAAAGTCCTGAGTGACATGATTGAGCAGTAAGGAATGGCCAC